AACTCTAGTATACTTCATTTGACCCAAATTCAGTCTGATGAGAAAATTGTAAGGCATAAGACTAATAAGCTACTGAAAAACACTAAGCAAATGGCTCTTCTCATTCTTTCTTTCATTATAATATTGTTAATGAATATTTCCACTTAAATTTTAACGTTACATTTATATTCTTATTTACTGATATTATCAGTGTAAATACCTTGTTAATTATCTCTCCCTTTACTGTGTAACGTAAAGAGAAAATTAGACGCCATATCGTATTACAAGCTGAAAATTCCACATCGTACCAAAAGGTGCTGTTTGGAAAAAAGCCATTATTTCATAGTGTGAAATATTCCCATATCATGAATTAAAAGTCAGTCTGAATGAAGAATATTCTTTTCAGTAAACTCTCTTCATGTTCTTACAATTATAAAATATAATATTTAGAGCGGGATCCATTTGTTCCGAAGACTGTGTAGAGAAAGAACTCTAGGTCATCAAGGATATTCTAAGCGAGAACGGATATCCAGAGAAGTTAATTAAAGCCAACATAGGTTACAATAGTCGTAAACATGAATTGGCTACGGTGGAGAAAAATCCTTTCTTTTTACGTCTACAATTCAAAGGATGTACTCTTGTGAAGATTCTATCGCAACGTTTAACCAGGGCGATAAATAAAACTTTCTACTCTGTACATCTGTTCCTATCCTTCAGTAGCCATCCAATGTCCAACCAGCAACTGAAAGATGTCTTACATAACCTTAGCTCTTCTTTATGCATATACCTTTTCAACTGTTCCTGTAGTTCAAGTTATATAGTGTGCACGATTAGGCAGGTTCGTCTACGGGTTCAGGAACATTTACTTGCTTGGTTCAGCAAGGGCGGGGGAAATTAAGTGCATAAAAAACTCGATCCTGTCAATACTGGACATCGCATCGATATCAACACAGCTTTCGGGGTTATATACCGAATTCCGAAGTCGTTATCACATACTGATCGCTTAAGTCCCCCACACACAGCTGAAGCTGTGGCAAAAAAATAGACTAAACCGGAACTTTGTATGCAAAATGAACACGTCCAGACGTTTTTCCTACTGTAGCCAAACTTGAATTAGTGATTTTTCTTCTCACCAAAAGTGCCTCTTCCCCTTAACCCTGTTGATTGTTTTTTCTTTCCTTATTATAACAATCGTTATTATTCATAATTATATCCTTCATGCAAACATTCTCTCAATACTATCAGATTTTCCATTTATACTATCTGTACTTTTTATTAGAAATATTACATCTTTTCTCAAATTACGCGTTCACTTGTTTCATTTCACATATTGCTTATCTCATTATGAACCTCTCATTACAGTCTTACTGTCTCCTCTTTAATACATACTACTTTGCACTAGCCACTCACCTGACACCTTTTATAATCTTGAACTGACTTGTCAGTTTTCCTACCCCACACTACAAATCTATTATGACTAATCACCACCACTATTGTCTCCCATTTAACAATATTTCGTGATCGACTTCAGCCTAGCACGTTTATCACACAAATATTATTTATTTTGACACCCCATAACTAATGTTTTACTCTATGTTAAAAATTGTATCCGCCTCACAACTGGCCATTATCGTAACGACAACAAATGATATTTTATACTTTAACCTGAAGTACAGAAGTTATTGAAAAGAATATTCTTCGTTCAGATTGACTTTTAAAGCCATTATTATTACTACTATATTCTATGATCTTTCAGAAACACTGTTTAACTGTACAACTTGATGAGAATTTGCAGGAAGGATGGTTTTCTCTAACTTGATTTTTTTTTAAATAAGTATACCATGAGTATTTTTCATACTGTTCTCTTTATTAATTGAACGCTTTTGAAAGATGAAGGCAAGAATCCATAAGCACCACATTGATAAATGTGTTACTCTGTCATTTAGATTTTTTTTAATACATTACTTAATAACAAAAAGTAGCTTGCACCAGGGATTTTCAATTACTAGGACAATTAAAATAGTGAAATGTCTTCATTAAGGGTATAGTTAATTATAATGCGAGTAAAACACTTCTGTGTGAATGAATAATGAGCACCATGCTGTTTGGCGATTCTTACTTTTTCAGCTTTCCTACTGAAAACATAAATAAGGGTCAACTGAACCATTTTATGATTTCAGCATCACTAATCATTTCCGTGACTTATATGTCACCTATACAGTTTAGTTCTGTGCTCCATTTTACAATGTGTTTTTGCACAATGGCTGTAAGATGCCTTAAAAATCAGCCAGAGAACCACTAAAAGCCAGGAAGTGCTGATCAGCTGTTCGGTTTTAGTTCAGGATTCTTAAGCAGTGTGTACCTAAGACACCAACAGGGATCAAACCCACGACCTTCAGGTTACGAGACCAAGTTCGTTGGTTATTCAACTATTTGGGCCGTGATTGTACTAAATTATTTTAAAAATTTTATTTTTGATTATAGCTTGATTCCACACCATGCTTTTGGTACATGTATGGAATTTTCAGCATGTGATATCGTTAGCCTAAATTTTGCAGGATGATATCAGGTGTGCATCGGCAGGCGATCGAGCCCCGCACTATATGCATGGTCGGCGAGAGTCCTAACGGTTGTGTTATTACCTTAAACTGTGGCTTACTGAATTGACTTGAAAGTACAGGAACAGAAGAGGTACTAAATGAAGCGACTGACATGCAGTTTTTAAAATAATTTATGTCTACCAACATAAAACTGCCATCAGATTGAGTTTGACAGACATTGTGTATCAGTTGTAGTGAAACTCAATTTCTGTTACTGTCATTCAGAGTTCCAGTATAGTAAAATACCTCTAAATTATGAATTATTTAGGCAATGGTTCTCAGGATCCAGATAGCAAACATGTCCATTACCAAGTTTTGGAGAGCTAGAATATTCTGTCTACGGAAATGTAAATGTACAGAAATTACTAAGTGAAACACAGACATAGGTTTTCCCATGAAAGGACTTATTTTAAGATGTACGATGAATGTTCATTTCTTGTTCAACAAGGAACACTATAGACAAACTGATGATGATGTAGCTATGGTTTCCCCGTTAAGTCCAATCCTAGCTGACTTTCTCCTGGCTAATTTAAAGAATGAACTACCGTCGATGTTTGGATGACACATTTCCGATTATAAAAACGAGAATGAAGCAATGAACATCCTGGACAAGTTCATTAATGCGCATTCAGCAATTAACTTTGCCATTGAGAAAAGTAGGAATGAAAGTATTATATTCTTAGACGTAGCATATTAAGGAGTGTTAAAAGGAAGCCTACAACAGCAGGTCAGTACACTAATTTTTTGAATTTTGTACCTTAGAAATGTAAATCTCAAATTCTATAGATTACTGTCAACATTTATTCATACAGTTATTATTATTATTGTTTCCTTTAATTCCTAGAGGAACATAGGGCTTCAGCCGTGCACCTCCATTGCGTTCGGTTCTCTGCTAGAGTCTTCACCTGGCTCCAAGTCTGCCCACACGTTTTCATCTCCTCTTCACATGACCCCCTCCAAGTCACCCCACCTTGCACTGACGACCAACTCGCCGCTTCCCTTTCGGGTTCCACTCGAGCAATGGCTTGTCTAGTGATGTCACTTGAAGGTCTGTTTCCTCAGAGTATGGCCAATCCATCTCCATTTCTTCCTGCCTATTTGTTGCACAATCGGTTCCTGGTTGGTTCGCTCCTAGAGATCTCTGTTGCTGATCTTTTCTGGCCGGCCATCTGATCTTGAGTATTGAGCGAAGACAACTGTTAATGAAGGTCTGTAGTTTGTTTGAGATGCTCTTTATGACGCGCAGTGCAAGTCTCTGATCCGTATAGTAGCACTGACTTCATACATACAGTTATATTGGCTATCATCTAACGAACAGTGAAATAGCAATTTACGCAATATACTATTCATAGTAAGTAGTTTAGATGAATAAGTAATCTAACTTACTGTAAATTATTAAGCATTACTAAATAAACCAGAATAAGTCAGACGGCATTTATTTATTTTTTTTATTATACCTCTCTGTATACTTTTCATTAGCATTACAAACGGATGTTGTGGACGCGAAAGGAAGTCATAAAGCATTTCAACTTACCTTAATAAATCTATTTTGTTCATTGAGAGAATTTCAATAATCCTAGTCTCAAAAGTCTGTAAGTAATTATATATATATATATATATATATATATATATATATATATATATATGATACAGAACTCCCTCCCTTTGAATGCTTTTCGTATTTAAGTGTATTTTATACCATAGTAATGAGGCTTTATTGAATAAATGGGTAGGTGACTGAACACCTTCCTCAAATAACTTTAATGTGATTTCTCAAAAAATCAAACTTATCTTATTTCATACGCACACACACACAACACATACATACTGAAAGCAATTAAACAAATAAGTTAAAATTGTAGAAAAATGTATAAAAGATAATTAGAAAAACAAACAAAACCAAAAAATGGAAGAAATGCTAAAAATAATTCAATTCAGTCAAAAAATCTGTGCTTAAATGAGCAAACATCTAATAAACATTAATGAACAGCCGACAGTTATAAATCTACTAAAGCTCTATTTATTATATTTTCACTTCCTGTAATAAATATGTAGTATTTAGTGGTGTACGTAGTAGTAAAGTGAATGTTGAGGCGGACATGTTTATAAGTCATTGTGTTTACGGAAGGTTTATATAATCATTGTAACCTAATTTGTTTTAGTATAATTTGTTCTTATGATTTGCTAATTGCAAGTATAGAACTCAACAAAATAAGTTTGGAGATTTATGGGTGTGTTCAATTCCACAGGGTTAAAGGAAATAATAAATAAAATGAAACTGACGATGGAGAACAGTTTACTGAACTCCAGTATGTGTTGACTGACTTGTCACAACTCAATTTAAATAATTTTGATTAACAATTAAATAGTTTATTAAATATAGAAAATCACAAGACTGACAATATGTGCACCATTTCTTACCTGCTACTGTTGGTAGCATAAGAGCTTGACGCTTCTCTTTCATCCGCCTGTTTTGGAACCAAACCTGAAAAGAGGAATGGAAAGATATTCAAGATAAACAAGTTAGGGTAGAATGCAGGATATAGTGTTTAAGCACTCAGCCTATACTATACAGCAAAAATATAAATTCAGACATCTAGAAAAAACAAAAAAGGGAGCAAAGAATATCCTTTTCAATAATTCCCTCTTCTGACTCTACAGTTATGCACATGTTTGTATACATAGAATATTCTAGAATAGTAATCAATGACAATATTGGTGTTTTTTAAATAATATCGATTTGTTAAGTAAGATCAAGGGAATCACAGAAAAATTTCCACAACAAACTGAGGATCATTAGAACCTTGATGGCCAAGGTAAGGACAATGTCTGATACATAAGTCAGGTTTCTTAATGTGGGTCCCAACTGCCTGAAAAGTATACAGTAGACGAACTCTTAAGTGGAAGTTAAGATTAGTTGGTGTGCGATAGATGATTTTGGAAGCCTCGTTAACATTAATCTTGTGTTCTGCATCGACAAGATGAGATATAATAGCGCTAAGAATCGATTTTGTTTGCCCTTAACCATGCAGGGTGATGTTCAGAAATCCGACGAGAAACACAATTGTATCCCTATGTAACTGGCTCCACAGGAGAAGTCAAATTGGTAGATACACATAGAAGAGGCGATATTAGGCGGTTTATCTTTGACTCCCGAACGCAAAATAAGAGTGGTTTTGAAAACAGTGTAATTCAGTAGCAGGGAATGTTCTTTTTATCGCCGTATTCAACAGGCGTTGTTTTGAAGTCTCGCTGATGTTATCCCTGATTGACCAGAATTGTAAGAATAAGGCATTTTTCGGAGCTATTGGTACCTTGACCTGTCTTGACTTTTAATTCAAATTCTTATCGATAAATTTTTCTGAATAACCGTTCACACTCAGCAATTGTTTAATACTCTTAAGTTCTTCATTAAGACATTCATCAGAACAGATTGCTTTTGCTCTGTGGACCAAGCACTTTATTAGATTGCGTTTGTATTTGAAAGGCACGAAGTTAGAAAAAATGAGAATACAGACCCGTTGACCTAGGTTTTTTATATGCACTTCTTCTGATTGTACGTTCCTCTTTTCTAGTCATAAGGATGTCTAAAAATGAAATACTAGAGTCCCTTTCTTTCTCGATGGTAAAATTTATTGCAGGATGAACATCGTTAAATTTGTCCAGACAGAATGTTCTTTGCTTCATCTTAATTTTTCATTATCAAAAATGTATCATCCATGTAATGACAGTAGAATTCCAGTTCATCAATTGCATCTTTTAAAGGCCAATTCCATAGTTTCGTAGAGAAAATTTAGACTAGAATGGGTCCTAGTGGCAACCCCACTGCCACACCATCAATTCGTTTGTATAGTTTCTTATCAGCCTACTAATCAACTATGGATATTTTTTACCTTGATGTTTGCAAACTGAAATTTTATTTCGTCATTGCATTGACATAAGTTTATGAGTTACTTTAAAAAACTCTTACAAAATAAAGTTAAGATTTTTCGAATAGACGTCGTCATTAACCGTTATACAGTGAGGAATTGTTAGGAATCAAACAGGTTCACCCAACTGCTTTTTGGGAATGCTCATCGATAAATGTGTGAAAGACAAAACAATCCAGAAATGCAAGGTTTGCAGGTAAGCATATATTTATTCCGAATTTCACTATCCATGAAATTCACCTTCTTTGAATTGGTGACAATATTTTTGAAGGCATTAGAAAGCGGTTGCGTATGACAGAATCATAAAAAACACTACATAGTTAGCAATGAAAGTCCCTTTGATATATATACACATATATATATATTATATATTTATTTGATATCTCCTAATAATTATATCATATGCATTTCCCATCCAATGAAGTGTAAGGAAACAGGGAAAAGGTCAGGGAAAAATAATTATTCGTTTACCTTCATAAACAAGAATAAAATCTTAAAATTTATACTTCTGAGAATGCCCATTGCTCCAACGATTATTTACGTGCAGCACGCAGGTCATCTATATCTACGATGACATATTCCAGCATTGACTCCTGTCACTCTGCCAACCCTGACCATGATTTTAAGATAATCTACCGAATCAATGCGAACTTGCCATGTTTTCTTCGTTACAGACTTCTAAAGACAGTGGAGGCCTTGGTAATTCATGGCTTTAAGCCAAACTTTTGTGTACAAAAGAAGTATGTACAATTCCTACTTCTGCCTTGGCCGTAGAGGGATAGACATTTATTTATTTTGTTTATTTAGTTATTCTATGTACCTTTCCCTTATTACTACGATTATTATTATTATTCTCACTATTCTCACTCTGAATTGTTTCCGCTTGTCCCACTTATCATTCTAAATCCAAAATTTTTAAAATATTTTTACAATATTGAATTCTATCTTATCAAATTTCACACCATGTTATGTAACATTTTATATTCACCTACTAATCCTATAATTATGCACCCCTTTCCAAAATCTATACACCTTATGTATTATTCCATATATGACATTAATTGTTTTGCTACTTGACATTTAACTATGATTATAATCACAAATATTTTGATTGCATTTCATACTATTATTATTATTTCATGTATTCACACCTTTGATCTAATTCCGTCACCGGATATAATTTCTTAAAAACAGTATATATATACAATTGTACAGTTTGATAATAAATTCGTTGAAAAGAGTCTCTTCGCTGAATATTGTCATCTTAATCTACATAGCTATCTGGAGAAATGTGACCGTAAAATTCTAGTCAGTTATATGCATTCACTACACAAGCCCATTTTGTCTAAGAAGGTCAGTAAAACAAAAAAATAGCGACTTTAGCGAGACACAGTGGGAAATGTATCTCACCATGCTTACCACCTTATATTTCCACCAATGGAAAAGCATAAAACCACTTCATGAATATCCATTCTTAATATTTGACTTCAGATCAAACATTACGTGTATTTGGAAAGTCGGCGCACTGGTTAGCAGTGGAAGCTCATGATATGAGCATAATAATAATTCTCATGCTGGAGGAAAGATTTTCACTAAAATAACAACCGATTAGACGATAAAGCGCTGAAATCTTATAAACATCGTGCAGATATCCCTATAAAAGAAGTCTATAATTAAGTTATATGTGAAGAACATGGAGCCTTATTCAGCTCTGTCAGCTATGATACAGTACCACTACTCACCTTTATTGTATTCTCTGGAAGATCAAGTTCATTAGAAAGTTTAGTTCTCTGTGGTCGACTAACATAACGATCCATTTGATATGTTTTCTCCAACAATTCAATCTGTTTCTGTGAATAACTTGTACGATAACGTTTTGAATGGTCTTGTATTTCTTCTTCTTCTGTCTTCAAATCAATTGATCTGTGACGCTTTCTTTGTGATACACACGATTGAATACTTTTCTTCAATGAATCTCCAATCATTTGACCATTAAATGAAGTTGACGAGGACTTTATCTCTTCTCTTGTACTTCTAATCTTGTTATTTGTCATTTTGTCTTCATAATGAGTTTTATGGTTTTGTATTGTATTTGTGACAAATTGTTTGCTTGTTGATGTATCACATAATCTGAGCATTTCTACTGAATCATCAGAGTTAGAGTGACTAGGATATTGGGATTGTTGAGATTCCAGGCTATGATGAAAGTGAGGATAGTATTGTGGATGTGGATGTGAAAATATTTCTTCATATGTACGAGGATCCTTTTTCTGCTGACTTCGACAATGCCGCTGAGGAGGAAGCGAAGACTTCGCAGAGTTTAATGAGCACGTGTATACATCATCGTAGTTATTTTTTTCAAATGGAAAAGTCACTACACTGTCTACATCACTTTTATTATTTCTATCATTGAAACTTGGTGCTGTCCGATTCATGATAGGCTGTGCATAGAAACTTTTAAAATCATTGACTACTGAGCCTGAACACGTCACATTACTCGTATTATTATTATTACTATTAGTAGTAGTAGTAGTATGAGGTAATGAGTAGTCAATTTCAGGCAATATTGTATTAATTAAAGCATTATTAGTTTGCACAAAATCCGATTGCTTATTAAGTTTTGTTTTAAGTTCATTGAAAATTGCCAGTGTAGAAGAGTATGACAACAATGGTGGAAAATAGACATTTTCTGAAAGCATTTTAGGTTGAAAAGATGATAACGACGATGAATCTGAAAAAGTAAAATCAATAAACAAATTTTGATGACTAAATAACTTGAATTTTTAGACCAGACCTTTATGCTATATAACTAAAAACAAATATTCCTTAATTTTTCTCAACTCCGACCAATTTGACCGACTATAGGTTACAATCGGTTACCGCTGATTGGAGTTATGCAACATCCGTGATTCACCTGTTCACTTCATTGGGATCTAAGTATTCGTTGAGTGTGACCCTATTCAACAATATTTCATGTGCTTTCTCACATGATAATTTAGCCCGAGGTCATATCAATGATAAACGACCACAGCCAGAATTCTATCGTACATCGTAACAATTATATTGATATTGAGTTTATGTCAGAAAGCTTTAATGAGTGACGGTAGAAATCGGAGTCGAAATCGGAGATTTTAGACAGACTACCTGTAACTATTTGACCTACCTTCAAGCAAAACTGACTGTAAATTCATCAGACTGGTGAGCCTCATGTTAAGATTGACCGATTTTAGCTGTTACTGAGTATCTCTTTAAGGAGCTTACTAATGAAGCATAACACAATATGCCAATGAGTACTTTTAAATACAAATTCCAATGAAAGTCCTTTCTGATTTTGTGGCCAGCATTATACTCAGTCATTCAGACATTAGGAACTTGATTTCAAAAAATATAAATCACCGAGAGAGAGAAAGAGAGTTACAGTTCTAAAATTAGTCAATGTATATAAAGTTCTTAAAAGTTAAAAAGAAATCATCATAAGAATTACCCCCAAATGAAGTTATTTTACATAGAAAATCATATATCGAGATTAAGAACCACCTACTTCCCTGAGTGTTACTTCTCACTAGTGCATTAATCTAATGTATAATACACCAATCATCAGTCGTAATTCGTTTCGTTTCATATTTTGAAAAAAAACCTCATAGAAGGTGCACGGTAACTTTGAAATAAACGTCTAATTGTGCTACGAATAGAAGAGTTACTTTTATTAACACTTAGAATTAAACAGGGAAAATACACCAGTCTTTTTTTTACCTACCAGTTGTAAAACGAGACATTGCCGTAGGTAATTAATCCAGTCTTTTGATTAAATTTCAATAATAATTAAGAACGTATATTATATTTGTGTATGTGTATCCAACATTAAATAGGCTAAATTAGACTTTTTCCTTTTTGTAAGTTGTAGGAGAAAATAAAAACACACGGTGTGCTCAATTTCCCTGTAATAATTTGCTTCCTCTCTGTAGTCATGATGATTTCTAAAATAAAGATAGAATGTAGTCACACACTCTTAACAAAATTTGATTGGTTGAAAAAAATTTTATTATTTTTTATTCATACCTTTCACTCCTCTGATTGGAAAGGGGGCAGGAATAACTTTTATAGGAGTAGAGAGAGATAGGGAAAGACAGTTGACAATATTTTAGCACAACTTTCCGTCATCATGATTAAGGGGAGAAATCACATCATATAACTACATTGGGGAACAGAATAATTAAACTCCCCTAGTGTATTTGTAACAATTTCAAGCGTGAATCAATTCACATAAACACATGGAAAGTGGACGATAAAACCCATTCGAAGAAGTACATTGTAACATGAAATAAAACAATTCCAACAGTGGTGTGAACAAGGGCAGTAATTTTGCTCGAAATATTACCAATAACAAAACTTACCATTGTGTGTAAACCATTGAAATATAATTATACTTTATTTGATCTAATCCACAATGCTCAAATTTTTTACTAATATTAATTAAATCTGTCATACAACATGAACTGGAATCAATTCAACAACTGCAATGAATATTTTTAGTTATCAACAGTTTTCAAAAACATTGTTGACTGAAATGAAGCCTTGGAAATTAGAGCTTGTTTGAATGAAATGTCACTGTTAAGCCAGAAGGGTGGTTTCAATACAATGAATTCTCTATAGTTCGTTTGTAAGGGTTAGTTTTGTTTTTACGAGTTGATTTATGGAGTGATACCAGTTAGAGAACCACTGGACAGCTGTTTCATCCTAGTTTGAGAATCATCGGCAGTACGAGCTTGCCTTGTAACCGGAAGGTCCTGGGTTCGAACCCTGACAGTGGATGCTTACTGCCGACGATTCTCAAACTAGGATGAAACAGCTGTCCAGTACTACCTGGTTTTCAATGGTTCTCTAACTGATATTAATCCGTGATCTACTCGTAACAACAATGAATTCTTTTCTAGTAGTACAAATGAAAATGGAGTTTAAAACGATGGTAAGGTATTGAGGAGTAAGTAAAGGTGCTATTCAGCATAATGACAGTAAAATGGTAAGTCAAGATGTATACAGGGATATGATGAAATTCCCCAACCACAGGATCAGAGCTGTAGTAATTGAAGTTAAGGAGAATGAGACAAGCGTCTTGGTATGAATTACTTGCCAGCTACGCTATTTGTCCGGGGTCCAATCCCCAGCCAACACACTCCTACACCTCGAATAACCAGTAGTAAACCCAATAAGGCTGGAAGGTTGTTTATGAGGCTAGCAAATTGGTTCCTTAAAATAAATTATAATTATATTTCAATAGTTTACACATAGTGGTAATATTTCGAGCAAAATTACTGCCCGTGTCCACACCAACTGTTGGAATTGTTTTTTTTAAATTCACACATTTATGATTTGTACTCATTCATTTCTATGTATCTGGAATTATATTCCAGGTGGACAGTTGTGCTGTTGAGTCATCTATATTACCTTCATGAATATAGATTCTGTTATAAGTCTCTCTTTCCATTTGTTCATATTAGTTTTCAGAATAAAATCATTGTTCCAGTCGATATTGTGGTTTTGTCCCACACATGTGCAGCTATAGATGAATTTTTTCTCTAAATTGTTGTAAGCTTGTGTTCCTGTTGGATGACGTTTAGTTAGGCGTTAATGTTGATTCACTCTTATTTTGAGTGATCTGGACGTTTGACCCACATATTTAGTCGGACACTCGGCACAAGATATTTTGTAAATCACATTGTTTTTATCCATCATTTTTATTGGATCTTTCAGTTGATTTATTTTATTTTTAATTAGATTCGTTGGTTTAAACTTGGTGCCAATCCCAATATTTTTGAGGCTTCTTCGAATTGCCTCTGATGTAGCATTTTTGTATGATATTGTGATTGTTTTTTACCATCCTCTTTCTTGTCATTCTCTGGTTTCAACCTTTTTCTCTCTTCTTTATATTATCTCTGATAAGTTTTTGTCGAGTAACATTATGAATAAGACGTTTATTTCTTTACACTTATCCTCTGGTCTTGTTGTAAGTCTACGTATTTCATCTGCAAGACCTTGTATTAATCCTCGTTTTACCGTGAGTGGATGAGCTGAGTAATAATCAAGGAATCTCCCAGAATGTGTAGTTTTTCTATATAGCATCGTTTTTATCCTATCATCTCTTACTCTTTTACTTTGCAGTCTAACATAGGCAGTTCCCCAATTTCATTCTCTATTTCCATAGTGAATTTTATCGAGTCGGCATAACTGTTTCTGTGTGAGAAGAATTTCTCAACATAGTTCTTTTTCATTATTACTAATGTGTCGTCTACATATCTCCACTAACATTTTATTGATAACCTGAATGGTTTAAGTGCATTCTCTTCCCGAAAATCCATGAATATGTCAGTTATTATTGGTGACTGCTCCTTCATTTCGTTAGTATATTTTTCCTTAAAACGTAAAATATATTGTTGTTAGACAGAATTCCACCCCTTTTATTATTTCTTCTATGGATAACTGTGTTCTGTCTTGTAGGCCATCATCTTCTCTGAGTCTCGTTTTCAGTGCGTTCACGACCATTTAAATGGGTATTTTAGAACAGAGCCTGTTTACATAAAAGCTGACTAGTATTTCTTCTTCGTTTATCCTAGCGTTTTTTAGGCATCTCACTAATTCAAATGAATCCCCTATTCTAGCTTTTAAGTGGTCTTTTGTTGGTCTTAGTATTATTGAGAGAAATCTTGACAACATATACGTTGGTGTGTTTCTAAAATCTACAGTCGCCCTTATCGGATATGCTTTATGCACTTTTGCCATATATTCTAGTTATATTACATGATCCTGGCATAACTTTGAAAGCATTTTGACTTACCATTTACTTCTTTCATCTGTCTGCCTTCTTAAAAGATAAACACCTCTGCTACGGAAAAGTCAAAGCTCAAACTTGAAGCTCAACGTTCCGCTCGGAATGCAAAGCAATGAAATAAAGTAATAATAATTTCACGATTGATGACACTTTACACAATATTCACAATGAAACCCATGTTCGTATCGATTTTATCTTCTTATTGACGTTCGTCGGGAGGGTGAGTAGTAACTGGTTTACTTAATTTTAGATGACCTCTGACAACCAGTAATTCTGTAAATGTGATTAGTTACACTTATTATTATTGTTCCCTTGGGTTCCTAGTGGAACATAGGGCTTCAACTGCACGCCTCCACTTGCTTCTGTCTTGTACTGTACTTATTAGTCACAATTAATGCTAATAAAATGAGATGTTTGATACATGTAATCAGAAAGCATGCGTCTTATTAATCTCAGACAAACATAGCCATAAGCTGAGATCAACCATTTGCTTGAGCCCTCCATTCGGACTCACGAATACACCTGCACTATCCGTCTGTGTCAGCTGCTGGCTTCCTCCCACAAACTATCAGGTGGACAATCCCCTTCAAAATGTTATGTGACATGGCAGCTGATGAACAGAAATAATCATATTAGGCAAAATTATATTTTTTCGAACAGAAATTAACAAAGCCTCCTCACATACATACATACATACAAACTAATATACACTGTACAACAGGGAGGGATTCAAAGGGAACGACTCGAACGAAGGAAGTCTCAGTGAATTCCAGTCTCCTTCAGTGTCAACTTGTCGAACAAATATTCACCCAGTCCACTGCCAACCCTCTTCGCCTGAGTCACATAGTCGGCGAGTTGCTTGATTCCATCCTCCTGTTCATGTAGGTATTCACTCTCGATGAAGTCAGCCAATCCCGGATCATTGTTCTTCGAAGCCAGTTCATCGAGTTTCAATAGTGACTGTGAGTAGACGGGAGAGAATGAGAAGAATCAGAATCACTTCAAATAATAATAATAATTACAATAATAATAATAGTGAAAACACTAATAATAATAAAATGAAGTAGACTGCATGAGCTAATTGAGTGATAACTCGCGACCATTAATTTGTGTGTTTGTCTGTGTATGTGAGTATCTGCATGTGTGATGGATGGATGTAAGAATGATGTCAATCGATGAGGTTAGTTGACTCCCTTGCAAAATATTCACCATTACGGAATTTGATAACTTCGACTAGCAGGAAATCGTCATTTAATAAAAGTCCAGTATACACACTCGAGTGAATAATATTCAGCAACAGAGCTCACTTCGACAGGTAAGTGTTTCCAGTGAGAATTGAAGACAATTAATATTACATCAGAGAGGAAAAGACTAATCGCTAAACTCACTCGACTTTCACGAACTGAATCCAGACATGAAAATCACTGTATTTTCAACATTCGGTGCTTGAAAAATGAAACTACTAACAAAAGGACAACGTCTAAGTGCTCCAGTTCTTACAGACAAAGTTAGAAGCAGAATGGAATGTCTACAAACACTATGCCAAAAAGAAGAGATCCACAGAATTGGTAAAATGTTGCCCCATATCAGATATGAAATTGAGCAGTTAAATCAAAAGCTAGTAGGATTAGTTACCAATGAGGATTGCAATCTTATAACACAGTCCTCTAGCAATACCAAATCACCAGCTTTCAAAAATTCAAAACATACTCATATCAAAGAGTTCAATAAATAATTAGAGGAGAAATCTTCATCTCAGAACGATGAAATCAGCAATCTGAAGTCAACGGCGATCGATAAAACAAAGTGGGCTATTAATCTCTCAACACATATATGAAGTCCTACAGAAATAAGTGTATTAGAAAGGGGACTAAAATTCAATGTAGCGGTAGACAAGCTGAAACCTGAGGATGTCACCCCTAAAATAGAAATAGCACTAAGTGAGATAGA